ATATATATATATATATATATATATATATATATATATATATATATCGTATAACAAGAAATGACTTTTAAAGATATATGTGTATATATATATATATATATATATATATATATATATATATATATATATATATATATATGTATACATATATATTTATAAATTTCATATATATATATATATATATATATATATATATATATATATATATATATATGTATACATATATATTTATAAATTTCATATATATATATATATATATATATATATATATATATATATATATATATATATATATATATATATATACATATATATTCATAAATTTCAATACGTATGTATGTTAGACCCATGGAAGTCGGCCTAACATACAATTTTTAATATATTTACTTTTTGTTTTTGTTAAAATCATTTCATATTTTAATACATTCGAATTATAAAAGTTTTTTCCATTTCCAACTATTTATTGTTAAAATAATTAATAAAATACCTTATAATATTTTTTTAGTATTTAAATGAGCAAAGTTTGATCAAATCGAGGGGGCTGTTAATTTTATATGGTCATAACTTTTAGGCACAATAATACAAATAAATTAAATTGAAAAACTGAAGGTTTATTTAGTATTAGATAGAGAAACTAAGCATTTTATCAAGTCATTGTCATCATGTTTTGGCAGAGGCAGTTAGCTTGTAGGGGAATTTTTGGTAACAATTCATGAAATTTTTTGCAAAACATTTAGAATTGACCAAAGCATGACCATAATTAAATTTAGTTAAAAAAAAAAAAAATTTAATGTATCTTGAAATTTCTAAGACAACTTCATGTTATTAGAGTAATAACATTCTAATAATGTTATTACTCAAGATTGTGAAAATTTATAATGATATGACCTTGAGCTAATTTCATTATAAACTATTAATAAAAGCAGGTTGATTTGATTAAAATAAATAGAGATTTTTTGAGTCAAGTCTTGAATCACTTATTTGATTTGATTTAAAATATTTAGGCTTAGCAGGGGCCTAATATATATATATATATATATATATATATATATATATATATATATATATATATATATATATATATATATATATATATATATATATATATATATATATATATCCACGACATGATATTAAATTAGTTTTTTGAGATAGGTAAGAATTTTTAGGCCTTAAATTAGAGCACACATTGTTTTTGTCACGATTTTTTTTATAAAACATTAAATTCAAAATCAACTAAATCGAAAACTAAAATGCTTTTGTTTTAATTTTTTTAATACAAGCAAAATCTATATGCATTATGAAAATCCAAAAAAAGATCTAAACATATTGATTTAGATACCAAAAAAAATAATAATAATTAAACATTTTATCTTAATTTAAAAAAACAATCGGACTAAAGTTAAGTATATATTTCAAATAATATATTAAAACAATAATTTATCAAAGAAAAACTATAAAAAAAGCATTTCAATATTTTGCATATCCACCTTTCTTAAATAGGGATTGAAGATGGCAATTATCTAAAATTTCAATGTTTCTATCAGCATAAAGTCAACCTTCAAATAATTAATAGCATTTAAGTCCTGCATAATTCATGTAGGCCCAAAAGTCTACACTGGCATTACCTTGCTTGGTTGGTTTTCATGTATAATTCAAATCAAATTACTCTTGAGGTGATCGCCATAGCAGAACACGAAGCAATAACATATTTTTGCATATCTACCTCAACATTCATTTTGTCTGAGAATATAACATTTCACCACTTGCTGTCGTGTTTCATCAAGCAAATTAATTTTATTAATTAAAAACGTTTATCTCATTGTGTTGCCCACCAGATTATCCAGACCCATAATGTCATCTGTTTCAGTATAAGGTTTTAAAATATGTGAATATTCAATATTTAACTTATTGGCTATCTGACGAGGAGATAACACTTGGTTTTAAATAAAAATAGATTTGTAACATGTTTTTTCAGATAATCTCAACCATGATTTTGGAGTTTTATGCTGTATTACTTCACTCGTTATGAGGCTTTTTCAATATCTAATTTCTTTGTGTTTTCATCAGTACTATTTCAAAATTAGAAATTTAGAGTTGATAAATGCTAATGAAAATCAAATTAAGTTATTAAAAAAAATATTACATTAATTTTAAAAATAAAGCAGTAAGCATTAATTTTTAACGAACAGAAAAAATTTAAAAAAATATAGTCGATGTTATAAAGTTACATATAATTAGGGATACAACTGAAATTTTATGGTAACAACTTGTCCATTAAATAAAAATACACGATACTTATTAATTAGAAATAATAAAATATTTAAAAAGCTAACTAGTTTTTAAAGTAATTTTAAGCAAACAGGATATATAAGTAAGAATGCTCTAATTAATGGCCAATGGTGTATGTATAATATATTTATATATATATATATATATATATATATATATATATATATATATATATATATATATATATATATATATACACATTTATATATATATATATATATATATATATATATATATATATATATATATATATATATATATATATATATATACACTGTATTGTATTACATAGTATACTATGCTTGGACAATATTATTATTTTTAATATTTTATTATTTTTCAGAGTTTGATTTATATGCACTAATTGTGTTTGCATACAATTGTTGTAATCGTGTTGTAATATAATATGCACACAAATTTATTGGATACAAATTGTATATAATATATAGTTAAATGATTATGAAATATTATAAAAACTATATTTTATAGTTTATATTACCTATATTATAAAAACAAATATAAACTAAATGCTATATAAACTATGTAACATAATACATTTATATTTAACTTATATATAAATATTTTATCTTACATACTTAATAAGTAACTTGTGAACTTTTTAGCCTTTTTTTTTTTGCATTTATAGTATAGTCATTCACATATAATTATATATTATAATTTATATTATAATCATTCACATATAATTATATATATATATATATATATATATATATATATATATATATATATATATATATATATATATATATATATATATATATATATATATATATATATATATATATATATATATATATATATATATATATATATATATATATATATATATTTTAGCTATATACATTAATATAAATGTATCATACATCTACAAAAGTAGTGTTGGGTGAATTCTATTTTTGTTCAGAAAAAAATTGAATACTCAGATCTGAAAACAATTTCAAATCAAGATAAGACTATTCGAAATAAAAAAGTAAAAATTATTAAATTGTATCGCTCAGATTTTTAGAAAAACAGTTTTGAAAATGTAAACAAATCACGCTTTTAACAGTCAGATAAATGTAGCAGAGAATCACAGTTTTTTATATATTTAAACATCTTTATATTGTTTTTATCATTTTTGAATCAACAATTCAATTATCTTTATTATTATTTCATTCTATCAAGAATATGCAAATAATAACTACTAAGTAAAACTTTAAAAATATTGTTGCTACTCAGAAAAAATTTTGGTATCTAAAGGCCGTCACCATCTTTAAAATTATAATATTTGAATTTGACACTGCGCTATAATAACTTTCCACATCTAAACGACCGTGATGAGAGTAATAAATCAGAGTTTGGAATGGAGAAAATAAAAAGTTGTTTAATTGAATTTTTATAAAAAAAACCATTGTTAAAAATATTTAGTTAAAAATAAAACTTGTTTAGTTTTAAAGTAAAATTTTGTCTTTCTTCAATTAATAAAACACTGATTTAAAATATTATCATTACGTCACTTGCTTTAATAAAGATCCCATGTTTGAGTTTTGCACTAACGTAAATATGAAAAGTTTGAAGTCGTTACAGTTGAGAACATTTTTAATTTAGTAAAAATGTCAAGATGATAGATTATTAATCGTTTTTCATGGCGTAACTTATAAATGTAAAGTAATAGAATTAACAGCAATTATAGTTACGCTTACTTAATTTTATGCATTTTGAATTGAGAACTAAAAATCAAGATTTTATGTCTAAGAGATAGAATTACCAGAAAAACATAAAACTTTAAATTTTATGTCTAAGAGATAGAATTACCAGAAAAACATAAAACATCCTAAAAAGCATTCAAACTGTTCAGCACTGTACGAGTTGATGATAGTTCTGCGTGGTGTTACTTTCTGCTTGATAAAGAAGATTAACTTGCAATGTGTAAGATGTGCAAAAAAGAGATAAAATCAAATGGAAAAGTACCAGTGTACTGAATACACATCTAAAAACTGAACATGAAATTGACTTGATGAATAGGAAATTGTCCCAAGATGCAGCATCATCATCGTTTTTTTTTTATTGGTACGGTTATCAACAGAGGAAAAATCCAAACCTCTGATCACCGGTTTCTTACAAAATCAACGCGGCAATTCGTTGATAAGTTTTTCTAGATTGAACACCTTTTATGTTGGAATCTTGGATTCGCAAGAGTTATTGGTTCGTCGCCTGCTAAAAAATGCATTGATTTAGTTCAAAAATTGTTGACATTTTATGTTGAATTGGAGCGTAGATTTTCAGCGAGTGGCAACAATATCACAAAATTAGATCATCTATTGAGGATGATACTCTAAACGTTCTATGTTTTTTAAGAGCTCATTTTACAAATGAGAAAAAAGTGAAAAATGAAAAAGTTAGTTATTTTGATATAAAATAAATAAGCTTATTGAATCAATGAAATTTTTACTATTAACTTGAGATTTTATTTATATAATAATAAATTTTAAAAAAAGTTTAATGCTGGTATAATACCGGTGTTACCGGTATAATACCGGTATTACCGGTATTGAAATTATTCAGTACCGAAAAACCGGTATTGAAAAATGGTATCGGTATTGGAATCACTAATTCGTTGAAACCCAGTTTAAAGTTCAAGAATCTGATTTTAGTTTCTTTTCTTAACGATTGTTCTAAACAAATAATTTTTTTCGTTCCATTTGGGTATTTTAATCACACGAAAGAAGTACTTGAGAACGCAGATAATAATCGTTGTGCTGAACGTAAAAATCAGATATTACGAAATATAACAATAAACAGTATTAATTACCTATTAATGAAATAAAGTGCTTCTTTAAATTATTAAAACCACTCCATAAAAACATTTTTACGTTTGAGGTATGATGAAATAAAAATTTTCAGCACAGATCCGTCAATATTTTATTTTAAATCGTTGAATATATAATTTCAAACACTCATTTTTAAAAGGAAAATAATACAAAATATATCGAAAACATGACTATTAAATATTACAATATTTTGAACATTAGGTTCAATATTTAGTGACCTCGCCCTTCGCTTGGATTCAGACATTCTTGATCTTTAAGGGCATGCATATTTGTGGGTTTCTGTGCAAATCTTCATTCAATTTCTCTGTTAATAGACACTTATTTGTGACCAAAACTTTTGATATCTTCCATTTTAACAGTTCCCATAAAATTTTAATAAGATTAAAGTCAGGAAAGTTCCTAGGTTAATTTAAAAATTAAGTTTTTTTCTTTCTAAGGTTTTCTGTGACTCTTTTTGCCTTGTGACATGAAGCTGAGTCTTGCATGAATAATATCCATTCGGGAATCATTCCATGACTTAAAACAGCTTTTTTTTTTGAGAACTTGAATATACTGATCTTGCCTCATCGTATCTTCTACGATATAAAACCGACCAGCACCTTTTCCACTTCTTATTTGAATCGTCGATTCATCCAAAAAACATACTTAAAAAATTCATCTCTTTAAAGACATTTTGAAACTATAAAAGAAATTATTTAAAAAAATCTTGTAATCAACTAATAATTAATGCCATATTTTTTTTCGGATCATCTATTGTCCAGCTCTAGTTTGTTTTAGCCCATTCTAATCGCTTTCGTTAAATCTCTGCTGTGAGTAAGGATTTTTTCGCAGGTCAACGAGAAATTTTTTATCCTACGTCTTGCTGTCATTAAAGATATTCTATTTCCAGCATCTTGAATCGCTTTCAAAAGAACCCTATGAAGAGTTTTTCTATTCTCTAAGCATAGTTTTTCAAAAATCTTTAGGGGTTGTAAACTTCTTACACCCACACTTGATTACTCTGTCGGCAACTTTTAGTTTCACTCTGTTTCCTTTAGAAACCTGAGCAATAGACACAATTTTTTGATTAGAGTGTTTAGTATTGTTAAGAGTCTTTATTTATGATAATTTACGAGGTGTCATATCTTTAGCTTTGTCCATAATTTTGATTAACCATATTTGAAATTGAAAAAAAACAAACCTCCTTTGTATTATGACGATAGACAATAAAAATACATAAAATATTAAAAAAAAAGTAAAACTTTCTGTAAAAATCCTTAAAAAAAGTGAAACAGCAAATAAAAAGCAAAAGTATTAAAAAAAAACAATTATTTCGGCGTACTATACAACACTTCAATGTGGCGAACGAAAGAAAAGTAAATGTCATTCCACAAAATGGTATTCATGTGATTTTAACTCATGTGACGTCATTCACTTGCTTATAGTTATTACAATTATTTGTATTTGCTTTTTATTTTTGCTGTTACATTTTATTATTATGAGGTAAAACTTATTTTAATTATTTTCTGTTTAAACATATTTTTTCCTTGCAATGGAAAATAAAAATAAAGTTTCTTTAGTCGTATCCATGGCCGTCTATACTAACAGGTTTCGTAAACGCGTAAATCGGAGCATGGGGCTGGGGGTTAATAAAAAATAATAACTAAGGAAAAGTTAAATGCAGCATGAACATTTGCTCGTAAAAAAGCGTTTCCATTTTGTGTGAGTGAACTTTAGCTAATCTATTTATTTTACTTAATAATTAAAACCTATTTATTCATAACAAGCTTACTACAAAGATAGAAAAACATTCCTTAGCCATAAAACTTTGTATAAAAAAAAAAACTCAGAAAAACATTCCTCATCTATAAGATGCAAAATCCATTACAAAATGTTAAAAAAGATATTTTAGAATGCTGAAGTTTCGAAAAAACCATAAATTAAACATATTTAGTAACAACAGTTTTTAAAATATTTCATAGACACTAAAATATTTCAGATTAAAATGCTAAATTTTTTATAAAAATCACAAAATAAACAGAAAGTATAAGTAAAATATGATATGTCATAAGTAAAAAAAACACATAATAGGTTTACCTTGAAAGCTACAAAATCTTTTGATGTGTACTTCTTTAAATGACCTTGGTGCATTTAAGTTAACATAGTTTAAAAAAAAATGTTTGAATGTGAAATAACATGTTCTTTTTCCATATTAAAGTTAAAAGACTCTGATATTAACATTAAAATATTGCATAGTGACTTTACCGTAATAAGTTACAATTTATAAAATAACTTAAACAATAAAACAAATGGCTGGAACAAGAAAAAGACATAAGTCTGTTTTATCAAGGAGGTATAATAGGAGAAAAGAATATAAGTTTGTTTTATCAAGGAGGTATAATAGACTGGAGAAAGAACGAAGTTGAAATACGTCTTTTTTCAAGGAACAGGCTTAGGCTTTATATGAGCCGGGCTAGCCCGTTTAACCGAGCAGGCTTATTTGAACAAGATCTCGCAAGCTTTAAATTTTACTTATAAAAATTAAACTTGTTTACATGACAAACGGGCCAGCCCGAATAACTGAGATCTCACTTGTTTAGAGTGGGATCCCACCAACGCGAACATTTTTTTTTAAATAAAACTTTAAAAATGTCTGACCAAAGTAAAATGCTTGATTTTATTTATAAAGAAAATGATGAAACAAATAAAACTTTCTGACACTTTCATTCTGACAAAGTGGTAATACAAGAATTAAATTTTCAAGAAAATAAAAAAAACGAATGATGTCTTTAGAAGTTTAAGCAAACATTCTGGCGAATATAAAAAAAATAAAAAAGCTTCTAGAAGTTGATGTGATGGCAACAACGAAGATTTAGTACGAAGTAGAATAGTTGAGAAATAGAGAATAGTTGAATGAAAAGAGATAGATAGGTAGATAAATAAAGGATGCCAAAATATTGGTACTAATATTAATAATATAAGAATGGATAATTTAATTAAAAAGTTTAAAAATGGCCGATAGAAAACCAGAGGAATTTGATGTAGATAGATAAGTAGAGAATTTCAAAATGTTAAAAACATCAAATTAAAAACTGAAGGATTACGAATTGGTATATATAGTAAAAAATGTCAATATTAGTTTGTAGAAATATTTAATTGTATTTTTTTAACAAATAATTAAAAAGCTTGATTCTAAATTCAGAGATTGAATTAAGAGATTTTAGATCAGGAGGTAGTTTGTTCCATGAGCTAATACATTGATATTTAATGGATTTATTTCCATATTTAGCAGAGTGGTGTTTTGGAGTAATTACGTTTAAGCTATTGATGGAGCAAAGAGGATAGTGACAATTTGAATGATAGGGGAAGGTTTTTGTGATGATAATTCCAGACATATTGGCAGTTAAGGAATATTACATTTTATTATTAGTAATCATTTATAATTATTTTTAATATATTGGAGATTAGGTATAGCGCATTAGAGTTAGAGTTATTATACTAAAAATATATTATTTTCAAAGCTTTATTTTGGAGATGGGACAACCTTAAAATGATTTGTTTATGAGATTTTCCCCATAATTGACATGCATATCTTAGATGGGACCCAAAAGAGCATGATATATATTTAACAGAGTTTCTAGATTTACATAATGGACTTTGGCAAGCATTCCATTAGATCTACTGAGTTTCATTGCTAAGTCATTCAGATGACCTTAAAAAGAAAGATTAGAATCAATTTTAATCACAAGATATTTAATAAGAGTAAAATAGAGTCTAAAGAATAAATTTTTTATTCACTTAGTCTGAAATTTAAGTGTTTATTAATTGGTGCCAGATTAGATTTAAAGATGATAAGCTCTGATTTGTTAGAATTGAGAAAAAGTTTATTATAACAAAGCCACTGAACAAGGTTTCCAAGATCATGATTAATATATTTTTTGATTTTTTGAAGTAATTTGTCAACCAGTAGCTTCTTAGTATCATCTGCAAAATGGTAAGCAGTTGCGAATTTAAAAGAAGTATTCAAGTCATTAATAAAAAAAAGAAATTAATGAAAAAATATTAATTGAAAAAAACTGTGTTCTATTTTTGAGAAATGAAGTAAACCATTTTAGTGGGATGCCTCTGATTCCATAGTATTTTAATTTTGTGAGAAGGATGGAGTGATTTACAGTATCAAAAGTTTTCTGTAAATCTACAAACATCCGACATGCAAAGTGTTTATTATTTAGTGCTCTTCTAATCTTCTCAGTAATTTCAATAAGTGCGAGGGTTGTAGAATGTTTGCTTCGAAATCCATATTGATGTTGGTACAAGCATTTAAATTTTTCTAGAAACTTGTATAGCCTGTTATGCATAGCCTTCTCAAAAACTTTGCTTAGGTTGGAAAGAAGCCAAATGGGTTGATAGTTAGAAAAGTCTTTTAAGGAGCCTGCTTTATAAATTGGAATGACTTGAGCTTCTTTAAAAACTTCAGGGAATTCGCCATTTTTTAAAAGATTATTTATCATAATGCTAAGAGGTTTGGAGATTATGTGAGAGGTAAGTTTAAGAAAAAATGTTGGTATGCTGTTAGGTTTATAAATTTTATCATTTTTAAGAGTAATAAGAATAAGACTAGATACGACAGATAAGACAGAATCAATAAAGAAAGAATTACCATTAGGAAAATTAAGAAAGTCACTATATGTATATTTTGATGGCATAACATTATTGAGTAGTTTTTCACGAATAGAGACAAAGTAGTTGTAAAATATATTTGAAACAGTGGCATGGTCTGTGATGACACTTTCATTCAGATTTAGCTGAGTAGGTGTTTTATCTAATGATTCTTTAATATTCATGATATCTTTTATGCCTTTCCATATATTTTTAATGTTGTTTATGTTGTTATTAAAATAAGTTATGTACTATAATTTTTTACAAATTTGTCGTTGTTATTGAAATTTATTTAAATTCAGTTAAATATTATGAGTATATTTTTTTTAATAAAAAATCTTTGAGACAGCTATTTATATGTACTTACATCGACTGACAAATAGGAATTGGCGCAATTAAATGTTTATGGCTAGAGTCAGGGTTAGGGTTTGGGTCAGAATCAATTAGAAACTAATGGGTTTAGCCTTAAATAGTTTTTCCTTAAAGTGTTAATAAAAACCGGTCTGTTTTAAATTAACTAAGAAAAAGAATCTAATCATATTCGAGTAAAAGAAAATGGCGATTATTGGCGTTTTAAGTGAAATATTTTAAACTTCGACATCAAATTAGAGTGCTTTCGTCAAAATTTCAGGTCAATGTTTTTATAAGATTCTTAATTAGCATGAAGTTCTCTATAGAAATCAATTATAAAATGATAGGGGTAGGCAACTGAAACAGTGCCATGAAAGTTTTGAATAATTACAGTTACAAGATAATAAGTCGATTGTAATGTTTTTTTCATGCAGCTATAGATATAATTTAATGTTCAAAAGAATCCAAATACGTTCCAGCCACAAATTGTTACAAAAAATAAAACTTAATTTGAATCGCCATTTTACAAGCACGGCCGCCTTCCATATTTAAAATCAGCTTGTTTTTCATTATTCTAAATATAGAGGTATAAAATACCTTTTTGTAAACCCAGCAAAAATACTACCAATTTTTATCAAGACTTTTATTAATTTAATTGTAATTTAGAAATTTCTTATAAGTCGTTCAAAAAGCACAACATAAAATAAATAACAATAAATTAACTCTAAAATTTGTTTAAACTTCCATCTTTCATTTACAAGGGAGACAAGTTCAAAAAAGGAGTTTTTATCTAATCAACTTTTGATTAGATAAAAATTCCTTTTTTGAACTTGTCTCCCTTCTTGAACCTTATATATCTCCAGATTCTTACTCACCAAATATAAGAGCAATCACACCAGATATAAAAGTTGCTACAACGTTATACTATTTAAAAGACAGTGGTACACTGAATATGACACCAAACACTTTTGGAATTGCAGTTTATACTACTTCAGCAGTCATTTTTGAAGTTTGTAATGCTATTGTAAAGTATTTAGGCCCAAGGTTTGTTTATTTATCAAAAAAGAAACAGCAAATGAGAGAAAAAAATATCTGAGTTTGAGTCAAAGTTTGGAATGATTCAAACCTTTGGCTGCATTGATGGAACTCACGTTCCCATTGTTTGTCCAACTAATCAGGTTCAAGCAGTTTGTGATTACAAAGGACGTTTTTTAGATGTTGAATGTATGTGGCCTGGTAATGTGCATGACGCTAAAGTTTTTTCAAATCCTTCTATTAATACTAATTTGAAAAGTTCAAGACTTCCGGAAACCTTTCAAACTATTACTAAAAACAAAAACAAAAATTCCATATCTACTAATTCCACACTGTATAAAAAAAGTATAGTACATGCAAGAAAAATTAAGAAGTCATTTTTAACAGTATGTTAAGGACTGCACACAAGCCTATAGAATGTGCTTTTAGTCGACTTAAAGCATGTTGGAAAATTTTGACCAAAAAAATAGATTTAAAACTTGAAAAAATTCCAACAGCAAATTATGCATGTTTTATTTTATATAACTTTTTTGAAAGACACAATATCTGCATTGATGAAGAGTTAGTAAAAATACAAGTTGAGGTAATAAATGAAAATGAAAGAAATTTTAGAAATTTACCAGATCCAATTTTTTCTTGTATTGACGGTGAAGGTGAAGTTATTCGCAAAGCATTAACTGAGTACATTAATGAAAATTATGTTCAAAAGCAAACTGTTTACACATAATAAAATCAAATCTAAGAAGAAACAATACTCATCTGTTAATAAAATAATTTTTTTTTTTTACTTTTGTTCCAGTTTTATTATTATTTTTTGTTTGACAAGTTATTGCTGAACACGTTAAAAAAAATGAAATTTATTATTGTAATAAAACAGTGAATTTTAATTATAAGCTTTTCGCAACTTTATTTCTAAATACATTAAAAAGAGTTTTGTAAATATTTTTGTTCACTAAAAAATGTATCCATGACTCAATACTTTTTAATAACATTAATGCTTACATATAATGAAGTTAACTAGCAATCAATGGTAGTAAAAGTGTCTCATAATAAACTTGACAGAGTTACACTATATGTATAAAAATTTATACCTAAAATACGTGGACTAACTGATACTCACATAATGTCCTTAATCTTTGAAAAAGAGCTTGAAATTTTTGGCTATTTTTTTATAAATTTAGAATCATCAAGCGCTCGTACCGGTGGTTGTATATTATATCATTAAAATGACATAAAATTAAGTCCTTAATCTATCGTCTAAGAAAAGTGTCATTGGTTATCATCTACTGAACTAGCAGTGCCGGATCAAAGAGGGGGAGGAGCCTAGGGGGGCTATTGCCCCGGGCCCCGCAAATTTAGAGGCCCCATCAAATTTTAGAGGACCATTTTTTTTAGGTTTTTGCCCATTAAAAGGCCTCCAAAAACAAAAATAGCCCCGAGCCCCAAGAAGTCTTAATCCGCCACTGTAAACTAGTCATTAACAAAATTAAGTTTCATTTTAGTGTTTTGTATAAATCTTCACAGGAGAACAAAACCATCTTCTTGGAGTTTTTCGAAACTCGGATTACTGCAATTCGTTCAACAAATATTATCATTCTTGGTGACTTTAACATAAAGAAACTTTCAAACACTTTATAGCACTAAAGTAATCTATCAAAAATAATCAAATGTATATTTTCAACAGTAAACCAACAAAAATACCTGAAAAATCAAGTACTTGTGTTGACTTTGCGATTTCAAATTGTACTCTTAACGAAGCTAACAAAAAGAAAAACTTTCTGATCTGGCTTGATAGCTCAGTTGGTTAGAACGTCAAACTATCATAAAATGATTACTTGTAAATACTCTATCAAAGAAAAAAGACGACTCAAAACTAAAAAAGATAATAAAATTGTTGTCAACAGTAGCAAACAGAACTTCCATAAAATTGATTATTTATTATTAAATCAAAACATTTCAATTTAATTAAAAAATATGAAAAAAGAAATTGATATTGAAGTAATGGGTAATAGTTATACAATAATTATTAAAAATTCATAAATACGCAAAGAAAGGTTTATAAGACGAATAAAGAAATCAACAACAACAATCCATTTATTCAGAATAACTGGTTAAGGAATTCTAAATAGATGCAGTACAAGATTATAATCAAGAATGGAAAACAAATGTTTGGTTGAAACACCATGGTTTTAGTGAAAGCAAATGTAAAATAGATAATATAGCAAATTTAAAAAAATAAGAAATAAAAAAACATCACTATTAAGAAAACAAAGAGCTGATGACTACAAAATAAAAATTGATTCAGTCAAAAATGATCCTAAAGCTATGTGGAATTCGTTGAAACATCTAACAACTGTCAAACCATAAGTTAAATCAAATATAATGGATGATATTGAATTTATGAAGAAACTTTTATAAGGAGTTTTAAAAGAAATGAAACAAAAAAATCCTCTCCAGATAAATATATAATGAATTTTTAATCCAAAGTATCATAGATATTGAAACATCAGTTCAAAGTAATTTGAGTTATAATGCCATGGAAAATTTATCGCTAGATGATAATAACCTTGTTTTTGTGAATTTATTTCTTTAACTATGCAAGACTTAAATGATATAGTAAAACAATTTCAAAACAAGAATTCACAGTGTGAGGGCTTATAATGTTATTATGTTCAGTTTTGTGATAGCGTGAAATATCTTGGGATTATTATTGATTACCAACTTAATTTTACAGAACACATCAAACATATCTTAAAAATAATTGCAAAGAAAACTGGGTAACTTGGTAAAATTTTATATTTACATTGTTACATATCAAACAACACGATGAAAAAATGAGCAAAAACTCAATGATTACGTCATATAAATCACTTTTATGTTATTGCTATGATTTATTAAACTATTTTTTCTTTTTTTTGGAATTAACAAAAAGCATTGCTTTGGAATTAGAGTATTTGATTTAAATTTATTAAATAGTTTCTTCGAAGTTTGTGCCCTCAATACAAACCAATCATCAGCAAACAAATTTACAAAAGAATACTCAATTTTTTGATGCAATATCGTTCATATAAATAATAAACAAAAGAGGTCCAAGTACACTACCCTGTGGAACCCCTACATCACAAATCAGTTTGCCAGATTCTTCACCTTTTATTTTAACTACTTGAGTTCTCATTGAAAGAAAATCTGCAATCCAATTGAGAACTGTACCTTTAACTTTATAATCTTGTATCTTTTGTATAAGAATTAACTGTTTCAAATGCCCTTTTAAGATCTAGCATTACTGTTATTACAAATTTGTTGTTATTCAAAGATGTTCTCCATTTAGAAAGCAGTAGTTGAATAGCTGATTCAGTTGATCTATTTTTTCTGAAGCCAAATTGATTATCATAAAAAAACATTATTACTTTCAAAATAGCTTGACAACTGCTTGTAAACAGCAATTTCTAATATTTTTTCATAAGTAGGAAGCATATTAATTGGTCTTAAGCCTTGTGGTAACTTTGGCGACATTACCTTTGGAATTGGAATGATTGTTGATTTTTTCCATTTAGAAGGAACTTTCCCAGTTTTTTAATATTTAATTAATAATTTTTAATAGAATAAATGATGAGTATAATTCTTTGAACATAATAACTATTACCCATTACTTCAATATCAATTTCTTTTTTCATATTTTTTAATTAAATTGAAATGTTTTGATTTAATAATAAATAATCAATTTTATGGAAGTTCTGTTTGCTACTGTTGACAACAATTTTATTATCTTTTTTAGTTTTGAGTCGTCTTTTTTCTTTGA